AATTAATTAAGAAATGCAATCATTCTTACAAAACAAAAATAAAAGCATGGAAACTATAAATAAACTTTGTACTTAAATTAGTAAACATAATGAAATTATTTAACAATGGTTTGAGCATAATTATTTTTCCAATATGTTCTAAAAGTTCACAATATGAAGACAAAACCTTTTTGTTTTAACTTTTTAAGCAATTTGCCAATTATATATCTATTGCTTTTATGTTGACTCCATTGTCTTATGGGTCTCACTATGTCTAAATTCAATTACTGGAATTACTTTTCAGTGAGGTCTAATATAAATGTGATATGTTTGAAAGATGTCAATGAGTATTTTTATTCTTGAAATAATTTTGAAACATGGGTTTATTTATAAGTAGCATGTAGTAGAATGAATATTTTTAATAACTCTTTCTACCAAAATGACTTTCAGTGTACACCATATACTTGAAATGTAAATTCTTAAGTAATTCTTCTGTGAAAAAGTTTTTCCTATAGTATTTGATGCTTCATCAAATGTCAAAGTTAGAATTATTGGCCTCTATAATCACATTGACACAAATTCCAATTATTTCCAGAAACAGAGAAACAAATTCATGAGATTAATTGGGTTACCAGGAAAAAGTTTACTGTGGACTATATGTTGATACACATACACATATTGTTGAACAGGTAAACACTGCTCCCAGGTATATGTTGTACCATGTCTACCAGTAACTGTTATTTGGAACAGAACTTGCATATTGAGTCTGTCACACAAGAGCAGTAATGAGCTTGGGTCATGAGGCTAGCCAGAATAGGGAAGCTTCATTTAATGGATAAGCAAATTTACTCTATGACTTGAAGGGTTAAAACAGATCATTTGAAGTCACCAAACTTGGTATTACAATTTTAGGATAATAATCAGAGCAGGCATTTATATAATGCTTACTGTATATCAGATTTCATTCTAGGTGCTTTGCATAGTTTAATTCACTTATTCATCACAGTGATGATGCTCTGAAGTAAGTATTATTTACTAACCCATAATGGTAAATAAAGTGAGATTTTTTTACAAACTTTGGAAACTTGCCCAAAGTTACAGAGCCAAGAAATGGCAAGGTCAAGATTTGAATCTAAGAGTTCTAACACTTGTACCTTTTACAACTACACTGTGGTGTCTCTCAGTGTGTGCACAGAACTGGAAAGAACTGAGGAGATGAGTTAGTACAACACTCCTAAGGTATAGATGAGGAAACTAAGACTTCAAGAAGTTATATATCATGCCCAAAGCCAGGCAAGTAGGTTTTGAAGTGAACAAGGCAAAATCAACCCAATTCTTGAGAGAGGGCAAGACCTAAAGCTAGAAATCATGAGTTTGCATCCTGGATGTGTCGTATTTCCACTGGTCTCTCCACTTTTTGGTCTCTTTATCTGAATAACTAAATTGATAATACTTCAGAAGTTGGTGTGAGTTTTAAGTGGAAAAATGAAGGTCAACTCATTCTGAAAACATTAGAGCATTGCCTAAGTCTTATTATTCTACTATTGACAAATACCTAGTAGTTTTCCGTACCTACTCTCTGCCAAGCATATGCAAAGAGTTCTATCTATGTTATATTAAATCATTCTAACCACACTCAAAGTTAGGATATATCTATACACTTCAATTAAAAAACTGAATCTCAGAAAGTTTAAGGAACTAGGTTAAGATCACAGGTTTTCTGACTCCAAAGTTGATATTCTTTCTACTACAGTATGCTCCATCTCCTGAATTTTATATAGAAATTGTAATAATGGTTATTGTATGCAATTATCATTTCTAGATACTAATCAAAGATGCAAATATATTTATGGATTTATGAGTGAATAAAAAGTGTTCTCATTCATATGTGGGAGCTAAAAAAATAAAATAATGAGTTCAACTTTTAGAAGTAGAGCATAGAATTGTAGTTACTAGAGGCTGAGAGGTGTAAGAGGGATAGGGAGAAATTGGTTAATGAGCACAAAATTACAGCTACATAGGAAAAATAAGTTCTAGTGCTAGGCATCTATGGTTAACAATAATTTATTGTATGTTCTCAAATGGCTAGAAGACAGAAGCTCAAATATTTTCATCACAAAGAATAATTTTTTGCAATGCTGAATATGCTAACTGATTTGATCATTACACATTGTACTTATTGAAATACAACTTTATACCCCATAAATATG